AAACGTTTGCTAAATTTTTTATTTAATTCCGTACGGAATTGTGAATCTCACACTAATTAGATGGACCAATATGGCACATAACTGAATTAAATTCGATAAAAGCTTTCTACTTTTCCCGGAAAATATATAGCTAATATCTTAAAGTGGAATTTTAAGTTTATTTTTAGAGTTATTATAGTTATTTTTTCAGAATTATAAACTTTAAAATGGTTTTTCTCTGTGTTTTTTCGATACATAAGTGCATTCAAAATACTACTCCTTCCACAATTATTTACCAATCACTTCCATTTTTTTTTCCCTGCGCGTTATATATAAAGCACGTAACAAAATTAGGGATCAATTTTACTGTAAATTAAATACTTTTTTTAAAAAAAATTAAAATGTAGGAGATATTGGCTTTTTTGTTGAATTTTAGCATGCATATCAACATTTTATTTTTTCCCCAAAAACTAATTTAGTGTAAAATTGATCCCTAAAAAGTTGTTTAAAACGTTCTCATGAGTATTACAAAAAAAATTCAGGTCAAAATATTAATAAATTCAAAAGGAGTAAAATTTTAAACTTTTCCAAATTTTCTTTAAAAAATTTGAATTTTCAAAATTATGGGAATAATTTGTACAAAATTTCATCTCGAATCATTCTTTTTTAATAGAAACATTGGATGAAATGCTAAAATATAATTTTTTAAATACATTAATAAAAGAATTTGTTCAAAGGATACGGAATCCCCTTAAATATTACCTTTATGTAAATAACACAGCTATGAAACGGAATTATGATACGAGATGTACTAATATAAAATAATATTTCATATTTCTATAACAATGAATTTACTTTAAAAACAATTTAACTATGGAGTAGCTATGTATATTTACCGATAGTAATCGACGATTATATACTGAGAACTTAAATTAGAATAAAAGATAATCATCGTGTAAGTTTTAAAAGTAATTCTAACTGTGCACACACACACACAATAACTTTTTCCTACTCAAATATATTGATACGGATTCAAAAAGTACTGAAATTAACGTTTACATCAATGAAATATTTCAGTTAGTAAGAGAAATAATTTTAGCAAGTACAATAAAAACAAAAGTAAATTTTTAATCGCCGTTTTCGTATACTTAAAATAAATGGGGGAAATGACAAACAATTTTTCTATAAGCAAAAATAAGTTCTCCAGACAAATACAAATCCAAAAATAAAAAACGTTTCTAGAAAGAGCCTCATTAAAGAATTCTGGTGTCGAGAGAGCAACGAATCGTTAAAAACCGTCCCCTCTACTTAATTTTTTTTTAGAACGACGGAAAATACTTTTAACGAGAGTGAGGACGCACAAACTTTTTGCAAACAACGAAACCCTTTTCATTACAAATGTCAAGAAATCAAATGCAAAAAAA